CTCTTCATGGGGAACCATGGCATATAACAATTTTTTTCATGCAAAAATTTAGCTTATCACAATTACCTTATTCTCTTGAAACTGGTTAAGTTAAAAAATTGCCTACCCATAATCAAACATTGCATTTTAGCGCATATGGTCCATAAATCGTAGCATTTTTTTGACAGAATGCCTTGTTATCTTGCTAATGTCAACAGTAGATATGAGTAAAGATAACATTCTTATGCAATTATTTGCTGCATCAAATCCATGTTTATCATTCATTTCCACTTTTATCTAATGACATTGTCAATGTCATATGTGATTGTTCTATACTGGGTCTGCATTGCTTAGTCATAATTTGTTATCAATTGTGGGCTAGTTTTTCGTTCATCTGTGCATTATGATGAAGCTTTCCTTTATCCCTCTCGTATACATCTTGACATAGTTTTGCCTATTCCAGGAAAGGATAAGTCAGTTGTCTTGTGGAGCATCCATGATCATATCTCTTCTGTAGCAGAGTCAACTTCGAAATCTCCTGCATCGGCTTCAAACTCGAGTGGTAAGCAATCCATTAAAGCTGGTAATGAGAAAAGCTCAGACAGCACAACTGTTGGACCAAGAGGTGTGTACCAAGGGCATGAGGATACAGTTGAAGATGTGCAGTTCTGTCCATCAAGGTACTCTGTAATTTCTATTTAATGATTTTATACTATATGATTCTTGCATGTTATTAGTCTTGTTTATTTTGAGATATAAATATTTGTTACTATTTCTTGAGACATATTGCTTTTTTCTTTCTTCCCCCATGATTGCTATGCTTGTTTAGATATTTTGCTATTTTGTAACTAAACTCTGTTTATTGTATTATTTTGCTTTCTTACTGACTGCTTTATTTAAACATGCTGAAGTGCACAGGAATTTTGTAGCGTAGGTGATGATTCTTGCCTCATTCTCTGGGATGCCCGAGTTGGTACTAGTCCAGTTGTTAAGGTAGTTGGTTGATTCTTTCTTGATTACCATAACCTATTGATGTTGGTATCATAAACTTGTTTTCTTAGGTTTCAATTTTAAATGAATTGCACATTTTACCGTTTGAAGTCGGAAACACACTCGAACTTGTTAATTCTTAATGCATTTCTGAGGACAATATTATTTTCAGTTGAAGTAATGAATTACTCATTTGTATTTGAATTCTTTTAAGAAATTTGAATCTTGATCATGATAGTATTCTTACCATAGCAATGAGGTCTCAGAATGTGTTGTTTTATAATGAGATGAACTCACTATGTGCAGCATTCCATCTTCCTTTGTCTAGTATCCTTCTAGAATTTTGTGACTTTCTTCTTGTGGATCTATTATTAGGCTCTACCGTAATTGTTCCAGGAGCTGGTTATGTCCATGCAGTTGGTTGTAGTTGCATAACTATAATTAGTTGGCATGTTCTTTAGCTTGAAGCTTCAAATTAAACTCTAACTTAGATATGGTGTTTTGTGCTATCTTGTTTCAACCTTTTCTAATCAAATCTGGCCCTCGTAGATTGACTACTTGAACAATTTGGCATCAGTGTCAAAATCTTCATATCACTTGTATCTCCAGCATGTTCAGTTTATTATGCATTGAGATTTCTATTGCATTAAAATTTTCATAGAAGAATACCTTGGAATGTAAAAATCAATTAAGCATTGTCATGATGGTTTTGCTGCAACTTTCTATTATTAAGTCCTATAAAAAATAATAATAATACAAATTTCTCTTATCTATATCTTAACCTTTTCTTTGCCTTCTTTATCACATTATCCTGTAACCTTGCTATATTATGATAACCTCATCCTCTTTTCAGGTTGAGAAAGCTCATAATGCTGACCTTCATTGTGTGGATTGGAACCCCCATGATCAGAATCTTATTTTGACTGGGTAAATGTTCTGATTTCATATTTTTCTGTTCATTTAGTCTTTGTTAACGTATTTCATGTTTGTTGCATCACTTTTCCTTTTAGTTATGTTATAGTTTTTACCATTTCCATTTTGAATGTTGTCCTAGCTTGTGAGTCAATGGTTTATACATTCTCATTCTTTTATTTTTCTTGCCAACATATTCTCAGATCTGCTGATAATTCTGTTCGTATGTTTGACCGCCGTAACTTAACTTCTGGAGGTGTTGGGTCACCCATATACAAGTTCGAAGGTCACAAAGCTGCTGTTCTTTGTGTCCAGGCATGCTTATATCCTGCTTCATGACATTTTGTAAAGTGTTTCATTCGAATTGTTGAAGTGCTGCTTTTATAACAAACTGTCTTTTGTTTTATGTTGTAGTGGTCTCCTGACAGAGCATCAGTTTTTGGAAGTGCTGCTGAGGATGGCTTCCTCAATATCTGGGATCATGAGAGGGTATTCTCTTAATTGTCTTTCTTGTTTTGAGAAATATATTTTTCATGACTATTATATATGCTGTGTCAGGGTATTCTCCTGACTATTATATTTTTTCATGACTATTATTTTCCTTAATATCAGGGTATTCTCCTGATATGATGACTGTATATATGCTCATGTTAAGGCTTTCTTCTAGGAATGCAATTCCTCTATTGTGATAGAAGAAAATCATCATAAGTTTTGTCCCTTTTTCTTTTCATTGTTGTGACTGTTGGACTCAAGTTCTGCATCTAACTGATATATTGCTTTTTGTTGGAGGACTATTAACCTTGAGTGTTTTCATTCTCTTTTTTAATGCTCATCTTGGATGGAAACTTTGTGGCAGATTCCTTTGTGTAATGGATACAAAATGTTTTGCTGCTTCAAAATGCATCGTTTGATTCATTATAACATTTCGAGTTTTTTCTTTCATTTTAGGTGGGAAAGAAGAAAGAACGTGCTGGAACAAAGACACCTAATTCACCTCCCGGTCTATTCTTTCAACATGCTGGGCACAGGTATTACAACATCAGATTTTCAGCCTGCTCATGTTTAAGTTTATGGGTCTCCCTATTTCCTCCTTTATGTTGTCTGCCAATTTTGTTAATTATGATGCGAGGAACCTGGCTTGGTAGAGAAAATGTGTCCTAATCTAATTTGTATCTGTTATAGCTATGGCATATTAGCATGTAGCGCTGCAGCATATTTTGAAAAATAACATACGCAAAACCAAATATAGACAAAAAGATTGGATACCAGTTTACTTCATCAAGTACGAATTTCAGATATTGGACCAATGTGATTATTCAGCACTTCATGATTGCTATACCGTGGTTGCTTGGCATCAAAACTGCAGTCAGTTAAATAGTTTTCATAAGGTATGCCAAAGTACGAGGACATTAAGAATTGACTATGGTTAGGATGAAATTGGATAGAAGGCAAGGAATAAATCTCAAGGTAGTTAGAGAAGATGAACTACTTCGTAGGGATATCCAAGTTTGCTCTGATACCCTGTTAATGTGAACTGGGTGGCTTGGTGAGTCAGTACATCCTATAAGATTGAACTTAGATACCCTACTAATAGTTTGTGGGATTAATTTGATCCTTTTTTTTTTTTACAGAATGTTAGAGGTTGGTTCAGTTAGAAATAGTTAGATGGACTAAAAATTAAACATAAATTAGTTGATCGATCAGAATCCAGCTGACTAGTCGGGAATTAGCCAGATTGTTGGGATTCGCTGGTAATTGGCTTGGATCAGTTAAACGCCAGTTTAGGTTGATGAATTTTCAGATAAAACCCATAATACCCTGAAACATCTATGAATGGGGAATGGATATGGATGGTGATAAACATGCATATGGTTAAAGATTAATTGATGACAAGAACCAGAATCAAGTAAAAGATGAACTGATGAAGGATTAAATAAATGATGAACTGATGAAGGAACCGACTGTTAGATTAAAGAATGACGGTTATCTTTTTCTCTCCTCTTTTATCTTATGCTAATCGTGAGAATACTTTTGAGGGCTACTAGGTGTTTGCTGTATTATAGTATGCTTGTTGGTAATGGCATAAACAGTTCATTGACAGTTGCAAGGGTTCTCTTTTTTATGTACATGCAGAGATAAAGTCGTAGACTTTCACTGGAATGCATCTGATCCATGGACAATTGTTAGTGTTTCCGATGACTGTGGTAGTACTGGTGGGGGTGGTACTTTGCAGGTAACCTCATAAGATTCTTTACTCGGTTTTCTAATTTGATTTGCCCATCCATTCGTATTTCCATTACCTTCGGACTCGACTTGTGTACAAGAGAAGTTTCTCCCCACAGATCATTTTTACTTTGTTTTGCCAATGATGACATCCTCATGTACGGTAATGCAGATCTGGCGCATGAGTGACTTGATATACAGGCCAGAAGAAGAGGTTCTAGCTGAGCTGGAAAAGTTCAAAGCCCACTTATTGTCATGCTCACCCAAGTCCTAAATCTTCGATTGTTGCTCACCCAAATCAGAGTGCGTATGGCCTTTAATTAGTTCTGACAGTATATCGTAGAACCCTCATCAGGGATCAACGAATGTTAATTTTTATGCTGTAGTCGTACTTGCCGAGTTTGCTGGACTGGAATGGTATCTACTGTTGTATGGCTTGCCTGCCTGCGTATTCCCACTTTGTTTGGACTTTGAACTTTAAGTGGGTTTGATTTCTACTGTCTTAATTACATGTGATCAATTGTCTCCTACTCGCAGCTGGTTCAAACAAACGTGATTAGACGTAAATCATGTCCACAGTATATTTTCCAGTTGATGGATCCAAGGCAAACGTCGTTATCACTCAACGGCCCATCACGGCAATGGATTGCACGCTGCAGTTGTAGTCTCAATCAAGGGCGCTTTCAGCATCACTGAAAGGGTTAGGCTCCGAACACTAATATGTGAGACTTAACATCACCATCACAAATATGTGACTGGTCCACTGAGAAGCGACCATAATTACAAATAAAAGACGAAAAATCATTAAAATTAGTGCATAAATCACCAAAGTAAGAAACTTCTACTCCAATGCGAAACTATAAACTAAAAAGGAAACTCTATAAACACGTCCTATTCCAACATGGATGGTCGTTGCTTCTAAATCGTCCAGTTCCAGATATCTAAACGAAGCTTCACTTTGCATCTCGCCGACCCGGTGGTTGTGGCAGCGGCGGTGGCGTTGGCTTCGGTGACCGCTGCTTCGATCCCGTCGCACGAAGCCCGGACACCGATGCGCTTCGACTTGAAGCCTCCGATCTTAATACTGGCCTCGGTGTAGAGACCGATCTCCAAGGGGTACAGCTTCGTCTTCCTCAACCGCGATGCTTCTGTTGGGTCCAGGCTCCGCCCCGTGCTCAAGACGGTGGCTTTGAGCACTGTGGCAGTGTCGGAACCCTGTGCGAATCCTTGGATCGTCCCCTCGCCTATCGCGACGCCGTCGGAGGAGGCGGAGACGGTGAAGTCGTCGTAGAGGAAGACAAGATTCTGGTTGCGGTTGCGGGCGGTGACGGAGAGGTCGAGGCTCGAAGTGAGGAGGTCGGCGTCGGAGAGGTTGAGGGCGGCGAGTCGAAGGGAGGAGACTGAGAATGACGGGCGCTCGGGGCGGTAGCAGACGTAGAAGACACCGGCGGCGATGGCAGCCAGGAAGACGAGGCCAACTAAGAGTGTGAGCGAGAGGCAGCAGCAGCATCGTTGGCGGCGTCGGAGCGGTGGCGCCAGAGAGCGGTGGGGGAGGCCGTGCTGCTGTGCTTTAATGGGAGAGGAGGTGGGACGCTCCCCGCTGGCGTTGCCACCACCATTGACCTTGACGGCTACGGGAGGGTTCGCGTTCGGTCGTTTCGACGCCTCCATTGCCACCTCTCGCTCTCTCTCTCTCTCTCACAACAGCAAATGCACCCCAAGTAGGAGAACATTTATATGAGCTTAAAATCTCTCTCTCTCTCTATGCTAAACTCACCCGCAAGTTAGTGCAGAGGCCAAAAATTGATCAGAGCCTGTATCACGAGAACCCTTCGATTGTGATCCATCGGCCGTGGAAAGAGCTCCGTGGGTCGGTGGACTATTCACCCAGTGAGTGTTGAGTACAAGAAAGGGTATTTGTTGTCAGTGGTTTTGGTTATGGATTCGTCATCTTTTTATTGAATCAGATGACTGGATAATTAAATCGATAATATACAACTGTAAGCATTATTCAAAGAGAGATGAGATAACGAGGTTGTTATGGAAGTAGAAAAACTCGAGGAAGATGAGCTTTCTATTGGCTTGTTAAAATTTTGTTCATACTATATACACATCAATTGTGATTCACTTTATGTTATTGGAAATTCTCCAAAAAAATTATAATTTCTTGAATAATCGTTCAAACTTCGTACTCTGATTCCTCTTATACCCGATAGATCGACACGCGTCTCCGATGCTCTCATCTCTCTCCAACAGAACGGGAAAGCAGAATGTTCCCTGGATGGGCCCCACACGAGACGACGAAACTTGATACTGCTTCAAGTACCGGACTTAGCTGATGATTTGAGAACGTGGCACACATCCAACGGGCGATAAGAGCCGGGGAAGTTGGCAGAGCGGTTGTGGATGTTGGCCACATCGACCGGGAGTGGGACGAGCGTTCGCACACGAAGTACTTTCCCGTGATATATAAGTGGGTCAAAGCTCGTCCCCACTGTTCGGAAGAAGCGCGCCATCGAGAGAGGCGAGGAAGGAGGCGAAAGCCATGGCGATCGCGGGGGCGGAAGAGGAGGAGGAGGTAAGATTCAACTTCGATTCTTCTTCTTGATTCTAGTCTCTTTAACTTTGAACGAATCCTTCCTTCGTCTTATGAACCGTGTTTCCGATTCGTGAGTCTTTGTTGGAAGCGACTTGAACGATCGCAACGCTGTCGGTCTGGATATTGCAGATGTTTCTCCCCTTTCGTTTCTGATGATCGTATTATGCTGTGAAACAGCTAGAAATTAGTCTCCAGATCCTACATTTCCCCGTCTTAAATATTTCTAGGGTTGAGGTTTCTCATTCATGGTAGCATCAGATCGATCTGTTGTCCCGAAGAATTGATTATATTTTGTGGTCGGTCATGGTGTCGCATCTGGATCGCTCGAGATGTATCCGATTCGTGTTTTTTAAGGCACCGACATTTTCTAGTTTGTTCGATCATGTTTCTTTCTATGGGGTCGATCCACTTTACGATGAAGTAACCCGATTTATGAGTCTATGGTATGGATTGACTCGTAAATCATGTTAAAATTGAGATTGATGCTGGTCCATCGATGTTTTCTTTTCTCGATCATCGCATACCTTTGAATTCGATGGCTAGCTGCCGGTCCTCCTTATCCTACTGAAGCTGAAATTTCCGGGCAACCTTCCCTCTGTTTGTCTCACTGGAATAGTAAAAGAATTGAACTCATCTAGAAATTAAATGGGGTTTTCGAAGTAAAGTTGGCGCATATGTTACTATTCTCGCTCTATGCACATTCCTCTGCGACATTCTCTTCCCTCTGTGCTCGTTCCTTTGCAACATTCTGTATATGTTCTGAATCAAACGCGCCAGTCCTTATTCTAATCTGCATTTAGCCAAACCTATTTTCTTGGGTACCCCACAGTGTTCTGCAACCACATCTTGATAGAGTTGTTAGTAATCAACACTATGTTGTGATTTAATCTTTTCTTTGAATTTTGCTGCTGACAGAACTGCTGAAGGTCTATACATAGTGATTGGGGTGGGAATCACCAAAGTTGGTCGTACATTTTAGAGAATAACAAAAAATAATAATCTATCAGGTTGATATTACTTTGCACTGTTCTTGTTATTTGTCTTCAGATGCCAAATTTTATTCCTGGATCGTAACATAGAAGTGAGACTTCTCAGATATTAAAATCTCATCCGACTGAAATGTGCGGTGGTACTCAGGATAGAATCTAATTCATTGCATTATTAATACGATGGATTTGAGGAAAAAAATATTTAATACGATGAATAACGCCATAGCATTTGTGTGATCGAGCACCTAATATAGAATTTAGTAGATGGTGTTGGTATTTCTTAAATCACAAATTTATGATCCTGTCAACTATCTTTTTTAAGTAATCGCATGAGTTCATTTTTTTTATGATGACCTCAATCCGAGCCCATAACATCTAGCTGGGTGGTTGCTCTCCATTTGGATGATGCAACCCTTTTATGGATTTTAAGACTCTCGAGATTGCATCCGATTGATGAAGCTATAACGTTTTTGATGGTATCACAGACGGATCAACAACTTCTGGATGGGACCGTAGAAGAGAGGTGATGATTCATAAGGGCGCGGGGGCAGTGCACTGACATACGTGGAGATGAGTAAAGAAGAAAGGAGAGAGAGAAAAAAAGGGAAGGGAAACAAGAACCAGATTTTGAAAATTGCCTACATTTCATCTTTAATTACAAGTTAAAGTTTTAGAGATGGGTGATGCGTGGACAGCTTTCACCACGAGGTATGCATTTATTATTGTTATTATTATTATTATTATTATTATTATTATTATTATTATTATTATTTTGTGGATAAGCAATGGACGCACAAAGCGTCGCCGGAAGATTTGAACCCTCGATCTTAAGCGCGATGGCAATTGTCGTACGCAGTTGGCATGCTATTTCACCATAGGATTCTTATACCGTGTGCTTATACATATGCACGCATACGTAGGATGGGATATTACGCTTACGTGAGGCGTGATCTTTCGTATGCAAACAAGAGTCAATCTGGACCACAGCACAGCCTAAGACGGGAAATGGGCGTTCAGATGCAAATTAGCGATTTGTTATGTAGAATCCCGTTCTTAACAAGAAGCAAAGAGGAAAGAGGCTCTGGCTTGCGTCCGTCGTTTGTGTCATCGCCGCTCGTCCATCTCCAAGCCGAGCCGATGTCGCTGGCCACATCAGCTACAATTCGGCAATCTTTCTGAGAGACAATTTAGTGACCTGATGATGCAGGGCCGTGTGAGGATACGATGTGCACCGACCCAATACAGGCCATCCAGATTGTCATCATGCGAACTCGAACATTTAAGGCCAGAGGCATTTGAGCAAATAATTTAGAAAAAAAGTGCAACGGGGCAGAATCCGAGAGATATAGTAGTAATGGGAGGCAACAATTCTTTCCCACTATATACAAGAGAACCATGGACTCAAAATTTAAACTAAACGGTAACAGTGGTGGCTTCAGGGTGCGAGGAACCAAATGCAAACCAAAAAGGATTCACGATCAATCAAAGGTACACCATCAGCTGCAATAGGTACATTCTCAGCTCTCAGGTTAGGCAAGAAGCTTCGCCAAGACTTTTGCCACCAGGAGCTTTGAAACATGGATCTTCCTCTGTTAGATCTTACTAGCCTCTGTGCCAGCCAAGAAAAATCCAATTTGGAACTTCACATTAGCCAAATTACACAATCAGCAATTTTGTCATGGGAAAACCCAGTCTGTACAACTAACTACTAACAGGAGTGCTGTAGAAAGACAACAGTTGTGATTGGATCACCCTCAATATCATCATCCATCGGAAGACTTCAATTTCCTAGGCCTTTTAGATTGTGGTGGTGACGGTGGTGCATCAGTGAATCTTCCAGGAGCCTTGAAAGTAAATTAAAAAAAACATTAAAAAACTTATCTCAAGATGCTGTAGGTAAAAGTAGGTACATTATGCATACAATGAAAACATCACAGTTGAGAAAGAGGTTGGAGAAAACAGATTGGATAGTGGAAATTTTGATCTTTATCCGATTTCACCCTAGAATGTAGGCAAAATAATCATTATAGAATTTTTAATAACTAACCTTCCGCTTGTGGTCGCGTTTCCCCACTCTGTCACCTGTCAAACATTTGATAATAACACCATTTAAAGGCTATACTCTGTTTTACTTTTTGGCAAAAATAAAGAAAGAGCTCAATTAAATAAAGAATATTAGCTTGCTTTTGTCTACCTCCAAACCCAGCAGAATCAGGGACAAGTGATCGTTCAACATCTCCCCGGAAAGAACGCTGTGACAGTAAAAAACCAATCAGATAATATTTTTTTTTATATAAACAAATGACAAATTTCGAATGTGGTCATGCCTCCAGACTAATTGTATGGTAGCAAATGGATACGTAGAAGACTCAAATCTCACCACTAAATAGTTGGAAGATGTCAAAGACTACCATAGATGGTAGGAAAACAGTAGAAGTAAAGCATTTACCTTAGGAGTGCTTGGTGTTTCAGCATACGAATTGTCTCGGTTCACTGAAGCTTCAGCCTCTCTATTTTGCAACTATTAGACCAAGCAAGAGAATTAAAAACCAAACAAAAGGCTATGCTATTGCATTGAGCATAAGAGGTGTATTTGATGTCAAACATCCTTGCAAAAAGACATTTATTTATATAGCACTCTCCAACCTGACTATGTTCTATCATAGATTGAACTTTCTTTATACAGTAATAGCTAATATGTTCTGTCATGAAATTAGCCAAAACAAAATTGTCTTATCCATTTAACATAACAAGTTTGTTCACTGACATAAACTTGGCCAAGGCAATTTATTTTTTTTTCTCATCTCAGTGCTCTTATTATCCTAGATATCTTGGACATGGTCAGTTTGCCGCAGTCTTTAATTTTTATAAAAAGCGAGGATCCAAATTTAAAAAGAGAAAGGTTTAGGATACTCCTCCAAAAGACACATTATACATGAAAAAATTGATGCAATTGCATATCTCAGCATAGGGGTTGTTACAGCTGGTCGCATAAGACCCAGAACAAAACTCGATAGATAATCACATAATCCCATGTGTGGATCCACATCCGATATTTTTCAAATTTGGGTAGGGTATAGGGT